TATACTTTACCTATATATTTGTAGGATTTGAATGTACCAGATTTATCGTTTATTTTGAATTGAGATAATAAAACAAACTAATTTAATGTCGCACAATAAATTATAGCTTATTGGGTAAATTGTGGCTAAAATGTCCAAGTATTGAATAAATGAATGATAATAATAACTTTTGTTACATAATATTATTTATGAAGATAATCGTTTCAATATGACTATTGCCACGTATAGAAAATACCTTTAAACTGTTTTAAACATCTCTGTTTAAACATTAAATTGAGTCTTTCTGGAATAGGATGGGTATTAACTTGTCGGTAGGTGTCTAGTTAGTAGACGGTTAAAGGCATAATGTCACATTGATTGAACATAATTGACAATATAATTATCAAATAAGTACATTTGTAAATCCTTCTAAATTAATTTTCAAATGTCCAACATGTCACTATAGATACCAGATTCAATGTTACTGCACATTAAATGCTTACCAGCTTCCCTATAGTTTAATCTCGACTTTATCAAATATATAGTTTATTATTTGACARTTGATTCTAAAATTTGAAGTTTATTTTTGGAGGGGCTGCAATCGCCAAATAGAATTGGACCTTGGAACTTTTTTAACTTCTAAAAATAGCAAATCTCTATAGATGTTTTTATCGCAACATTTTTTTACGTACAGTTAAAATTTTAAAAACCATGAACATTTAAAACAAAATATCACTTGAAAATAAATTACTTATAGCAATTTAAAAATATTAAAAATATATAAATCTAGGCACAATTTTTTTTTATAAATATTTAAAGTTCAAATGTTGACTAAGTTTGAGATACTTTGCCAACACCCTGTGTTATAGTAACAGCTATAAAATAGTAATATTATATGCAATAATAAATAAATTATTATAAAATAATGGGTAAATGCAATTTTTTTTATAAAAAAAGTTCAATTTCCTAATAGATAACATAATTATTTATAAYAATATAGGTATATTTAATATATTCATATGTACCTATAATAAATCCTACGGTCCTCATTCAGAATTTTCTCATACAATAATTTCATTCATATCTAATTGAACATATCATCTCCATTTGGCCCTATACTTAATGGAAAATTCAATTCAGCTGTCGACATCTATATTAAAATAAAGCAATTTCCACGGGTTGATTTTATTATATAAAAGATCTAAATACAATCTTATTTACTATCTGAAAAACAATTTTTGAGATTATAATTAATGTGAATTTTGAAGTTTTAAATTCACGTATTTGTTACTTTTTGATGAGTTTTTGTCTTTAAAGTTTAAATACWTTATAAYAAAAAACTTTTATACTATAAGTGCTAAAATTATAAAAATCTCTAGAATAGGTAGYTGTCATCTTCTAAAAATGTGTCATTATTCATTAAATTATAACTATATAATATTATATGAAATTATATTATATTAATATTCAATTTTCGAATACTTACGCTCGTTTCAGATAAATTTTTTTTTTAAATTTCAATAGTAAATTATTGTTCAACTATCAATACTTTTGAATAATTTATAAATTAAAATTTTCAAGCATGTTAACACTTTTAGGTATAGTGATTTTATAAGTGAACCGTTCAATWAWTCTTCCTTCGATAATACCTATATAACAACGTCGGTCGTGGATAGGTGACTTATTCCGTTTGTATCCAAATTATAAGGTATCGATAAGTTATATTTAATATAGTTTTAAAGCAAGTGACCAGTAAAATGTAAAATTTTTGCATGATAATTGATAACCGATGTACATTTCAATACTATWATGTATCTAACTGTAAACTAATACAGTAAGTCACTTAACAATTTAACATAGAATAAGAAATTTTTTTTCATGTTCTATTGGTTTATTTGAATAAATAACGACTTTAGAAATTATAGTTACCCTTAACTATAGGAATGTAGGTCATATAATATAGTAAGAGCTAAAAAAATATTTGATTCACAGAATTAAGAAATTATAATATTATTGTTTTTTAGTATAATAAGTCCATAAATGATTTGTTGCTTTTATTAACTATACCAACTTAYACTACCTAATTTATTTTATTATTGTAAACGAGTAAATCAAACATTTATTTTCTCGAGCGAAGAATTTTTTTATTGCGAAACCCTCTGAAGTCTCCACTTATAATTGTTACGCTAATAGGGTGTAGGCCCGTATAATGTACTCATAAATACATGTCATGTGTATATAACTGCAATAGATATAACACTATTCCGTACACATGGTGGTTTTATTCTCATTATTATTTTGAGCGTGAACGGTCGCTTTTATCGTATAGGTACACACTGCACTGACATGATACACAATATAATAATATTGTGTCTATGTTTGTAAAAGGTGTACCTACTGTACCTTGTTTATAGTTTTACGTAGGCAGTTATGGTGTTTTTTTTTTCATAGGTAACTGTCACCGAACGAGAATAAATRTACTATACGTTTCGACTTTCGGTGAAAAACAAACACAAAATTTATATTCATTATGGCCGACATATTTCAAATGAAACCCTTTGTGCTTTTATAAAATGGATCCGTGTGTGTTTATTTTTTGAAACATTTTGACTGTAAAATCACACATAGCTACCATAAGTTTGCTGTAGATAAACAAACGACGAGTGCAGTCCACGGATCAACAAGTTAAATACTCAATGATTAATATGAAAATGAATTCAATTAGTATGGYTAATATAATATAATATAATACCTAATATATTATAGGTATAGCCATTAGGCACGAACAACGAACTACAATGACTTAACCTGTGATTAAACTTGTAAAATTCATTGATTGATTAACCTGCATATTGGATGAAGGGGGGCTATAYAATTATTAATATAGGTGCTTAAATTATATTAATATGAATATTATTTTTTWATTGAAGTAATATTTATGAAATGTTAAGAAAATTTGAATGTGTCAAACTTCAATTTAATCGAAATGAYGTCTATATACCTATTAAATTAATTGGATATAATATACTATGGAATACAATTTTCTTCTTCTTCTTCTTTTACTTCAACTTCTCCCCTAACTATTTGGCGTCGGCCACCCTGGTCCTCAATTTCCACTTACTATGATCCTTAACATACTCCTCACAAACACCAGTCATTCTCATATCGCACTTTATAACTTCAAACCATCTCTTTTCGGTCCTCTTCCTCTTCCTCAGTTTTTTATCTTCTTTAAAAATGGCCTAGCCATCTCAACCTATTCTCACGCAATTTGTCAACTATTGAAGCAACTCCTATACTACATCTTATATACTCATTTCTTATTCTGTCCTTTCTCGTCACTTCACTCATCTACCTTAACATTCTTATATCCGCAACACTMATTTTTCTCTCCATTGTTTCATCTATAGCCCAACATTCCGATCCATACATCATCGCCAACCTTACTACTATCTTATAAAATTCACCTTTTAACCTGATTGGGATTCATCTATCGCATATAACACCTGRTACTTCTCTCACATTCATCCATCCACAATTAATCCTATGCATAATATCTTTGTCAAAACCACCATTCTTTTGAAATATGGATCCTAAGTATTTAAAACTATCAACTTATCCCACTACCTTGCCCATCATATTCACTACATGCCTATCCTGATTTACTTTTTAGACTCTTTGAACTCCAAAATGAAAATTAAACTCAATATACACAGTTTTAAATATTCCAATTTTTAACCCTTTACTCTCAAGTGCTTCCCACAATTCTTCCAGTCTATAGTTCCCTACTTTTCCCAAATCTTCATAGTGTGACTCATAAGKTTTATACTTCTATAGTTTTCACGTTCCTGTACATCTCCTTTTCCTTTGAAAATTAGTATCACATAACTCTTTCTCCAAGCGTCTGGAATTTTTCCTCTAATCCTAATTTCCCTAGCACTTTCCAAGTTTCTACTGGTATTCCATCTGGACCTACTGATTTTCTATTTTCTATTTTTCTAAGCACCCTCCACACTTCTTCCTCTCTTATTAAATTGACCATACCTAAGTTCACTTAGAATTGAMCTACTTCTTCACTCTAAAATTTCTCAATTAACAGTTTTTAAAATTACTTTTTTCATTGATTCATTATCTTTTTGTCATTTGTTAACACCTTTTTATCTTCATATCTTGTGTACCTTACATATTTTAGTACATCTCTGGTTTGTTTTTCTCTACTCTTAGCTAGCTTGTACACTTCGATTTCTCCTTCTCTTATTCCTAATCTCTCATAGAACTCATCATATTTATCTAATTTTGTTTAGTTACTGCTTTTTTTGCTGCCTTACACACATTTATGTACTCAAACAAATATTCTCTTCTCCCATATTTTTGCCAAACTTTAAACTGGGATTTTTTCTTTGAAATTATGGCTTGCAATTCCTTTTCCCACCACCATGTTTGTTCACCTTTTGGAATTTTACTTCTGCTTTCACCTAACACTTCCTTAGCTACACTTCTAATATTATCCGCTACACTTTTCCCACACTTCGTTTTTACTCCCTTCTATATTCACTTTTCCAATTCCTCTCATCTCCAATTTAAATACTTTTTTATTCACATGAAATAATTTCCACCACCTAATTCTTGCTTCCTTCTTTACTTTTTACCTTCTGGTCGCCTTCTTTTTATTGCATCAGATCTCCATAATCATAAATCTACGCTGTGTTGTCACACTTTCTCCTGAAATTACCTTGTAATCCTTACACTGTTTCATATTATCTCTTCTCGCAATAAAAAAATCTATTTGAAACTTATTTCTTCCACTTTTTTAAAGGTAACATAATGTTCTTTTCTCTTTCGCGGCGATAGTATTCTTACAACTTTCCACAGGGTTATACTACGGATTAAAATATATATATATACAGTGTGATCACGATAAGTGGAAACACTCAATAACTATGTGCAGGCTTCATATATTTCAATTCTGCTTTTTCGGCTAAC